TGCAATCAAACAGCCTGAAGGTATTAAAAAGGAATTGACTCAGAGCTCCCTCGTCTGTACGAAAGGTAAGGCAAGTTCACTCATTCCAGTTTGCCCTACAAAACCAGAGACCCTTCCAGGGGTGGAGAGAGGGTCTCAGTGTCAAGGTGCTGGGCTACAAGTCAGGATTTTCAGAGCATCTTTGACTCATTGGGCAAGTCTCTGCAGCCTTTTCTTTACCCAGACTGTAGACCATAGCAGTCACTTCACATACAAAGTGAAGACTTCTAGAAAAAAAAGATTATTTTAACAATTCTTGTTATATTTTCTCATCAGGTACAATGACTTCTGAACCAGTGTCTCTCAGCCTGCCAAGAAACATAGTGCAAGGATCAGCCAGAGCCTATTTTTCTGTGATTGGTAAGTTTAGGACTTAAACTAAAGCCAAAAGTAAATGGCATTCCTCTTTTGGTGTGCCAAGTGCCATCATGAATACATGTGTAAAACTAATGTGAGGTTGAGTAAATACTTAATTTAGAGGAAGTGTTTCCTACTTTGCAAAATGACAAAGGAAGACCAAAATCGCTTGGAATTATCTCTATCAAAAGAGAACAAAATTACTTGAGTTTATACTGCAATTCAGATTATACTGCATTGGCATATCCAGTTCTGTATAGGAATCCAGTTAATTTAGCCAAAAAGCACAATAAGAAAGACTTCTTTGGAAAAAAAAAATAAAATTCTTGGAAATAAGACTTCAGAATTTTGCTAGCTGCATAATTTCAAATTTCATTGTTTTCATATAATGAAAAACATTTGTCAGTTGAAAAGCTCCCATGGAATAAGATTTTCAGGTTCCAACCAAACCTACTAAGTTGTCTTCAACATCAGTTTTTGGAGGTTCTGAACTCAGGATGCTTCCTCAACACTTATTTTGGATGCCTGGGTGAGTGTGAGGTGTGCTGACACCCCACAGTACAGCCTCTGTAGCCCCTAGGATAATACCCCACACACCATCCTCAGGCTGTAAACCTTCAAAGGGTCGTGAGCTGTTCCTCAGAGCCCATGCCAGCCAATATTGGTGTTCAGATTTTTCTATAATTATTAGTTTCTCCCAGGTGTCCAGCATCAAAATAAATTTAAAAAAAATTAAAAAAATTAAAAACCCCAAACAAAAAAAGGAGACATTTCAGCCTTTCTTCTAACCTGTGTCTTTGGTTACTATGATTCCTCTATATTGCTCATTGCCCTTGGTAATAGTAAGATAATACAAAATAATGTATAATGCTGTGTAATAAAAACACATTTTAACTGAACTGACTTGTTACATCTTTCATTCTTCAGGAGACATCTTGGGCACAGCCCTCAGGAACATGGAGAACCTCCTCCATATGCCTTATGGCTGTGGAGAACAGAACATGGTCCTGTTCACACCCAACATCTATGCCCTGGATTATCTGAACAAGACTGGGCAGCTGACTGCAGAGCTCAGAAACAAGGGTACTGGATACTTATCCAGAGGTGAGCAGCTTTCAGATTCTTCCATCTAATATGGTGATTGTGTGCATTGAACTCTAAAGCTCTCCATGGTGAAAATGAGCTCTGAATTCTAGCACCATTTGTTGCATAAGAGCAGACCATGACAGCACCCAAAGCAGCACTTCATCCTCCAGGAGCACCAGCAGGTGGAATCCCTAGTGACTGACATTATTCACTGGTCCTACATTACTTAACATTAAACCCAAAATCTTACTGCTTCAGCTGAATAAACAGCAGAACTAGTCCTTTTCTGTGATGAGAAAAATGTCTTTATTGTGTCTCCAGGGTACCAAAAACAGCTGTCCTACAAACACAGGGATGGGTCCTACAGCTCCTTCGGGTCACGAGACAAGGGAGGGAGTGTGTGGTAAGTGCTGGCACGTTCTATTTCCCTAGCACAGCACCCTTAGGCTTTGAAAAATGATCAGAGCATGAAGTGATTCTTATTTTTAATAGACTAAATGGACACAGCTCAATTAATTTGGCTCTCCTAGTAAAAGAGAGTTTAATAAACCAGAGAGAGCGCAACAAAAAGATTACAAGATGATTGGGAGCTGGAGAACATAATGTTCAAGGGGAGGCTGAAGGAACTGGGTTTGTTCAGCCTGTAGAAGAGGAGGCTAATGGGGAACCTAAGTAAATCTTTCTGCTGTCTAGATGGGGACCTGAGAAAAGACAGTCAGACTCTTGTCAGGGGTGCACGGAGTAAGGACAAGAGTTTGTCCTTGCTCAAGTTGCAACAAGGAAAACTCCAGCTAGGTAGAAGGAAAAAAAAATCTTCCCCAGGAGAAGTCTGCAGCACTGACAAATGCCCAGGGATGATGTGCTCATGTCTGTTCCTGGAGATTTTCACAACATGACTGGACAAGAGACTGGGCAATCTGACAGAGCTTTGGAGCTGGCCCTAGTTTAAGTTGGACTGGAGACTTCCAGAGGTCCCTTTCCACCTAGATTATTTCCTAGTTCTATTAATTAGGATTAGAAATTGTTACTATCAATCATCAAGCTGTGCCTGTACTTTACCCCTGCTCTGACAGAGTGGTTTCTGGCTCACCTGCAGGCTCACTGCCTTTGTGTACAAGTCATTTGCACAAGCTGCACGCTACATCTACATTGATGACAACGTCCAGTCTCAGACTCTCATCTGGCTGGCAAGCAAGCAGAAGTCAAATGGTTGCTTTGAAAATTCTGGCTCACATTTCAACAATGCTTTGAAGGTAACTGAGACAAGTGTAGCCCCAAACTTCCAGTCCTGACACTGGGATTGATTTGGGTCATCTCTGCCAGGCATAAGCTCTTCCTGGTACTGTTCTCTCATGTCTCATATACAAGCAGGGCATGATTCTTATGTCTGCTTTTGTTGATGAGGTAGAAAAGAGCAGAACTTTCTGAGTCAGAAGTCTCAGGTTTTATTTTCCACCACTGCAGTCTGTGTTCAGACACAGAATATACTTTATTGCATATATGCAAAAGCCAAGAAAATACATTAAATAATGTTGGCTTTATCCTGACTGAACTTGCTCTTTATTGTTCTTGTGCACACAGGGAGACAGAAGTGACTTCTGATCTCAAATCTAACTGATATCTAAATAATGAATCAATTTGTATTATGTTTCTTTCTAGGACAACTATATTGACTTGTTCTTTGCTTTATTTGTTTCTTCAGGGTGGAGAAGAAGGTGAATACTCCCTCACAGCCTACGTCGTGGCAGCATTGCTGGAGGCTGGACACTCTGCTGAGGTAGGTCCATGATGCTGCTGTGCTCTGTTAGTTTGTCAGCCCTTTGTCAAGCAGAGCACAGGTCGTAGTCCTCACATCCATATTCTTTAACAGTGTGAGAGATACTGATTGTAGGATAGTAGGGTCAGCTGAGGAAATCTATTCCCAGAACCCTGCAGTTGCTATAAGTATTTGAGGAGTGTTACAAATGAGTCATGTATCCAGTTTCTATGGACTAATCTGAAAATCCCTGAGGAACCCAGTTGTGTTAACCAGTGGAAGTTTATGTAGGTGCAAAATCCAGCCTCAATTTGCCCACTCCACCCAGAGTCCAGTTGGGAAGTTTCTCTGAATTTGCCTAATCCAAAGTTCAAGCTCTCCAAGTCTTCAGTACTACAAAGTGCTGTTGTGCATTTGGATTCAAGCTGTGTTTCCATTTCCCAATAGCATTGCTAATAAATGGAAGGAAAAAAATGAGCTGGTGACTGGAGTACTAGACACGGGGGGAATGAGAGCTGAGTTCTGTTTTATGTAATATACTTCCTGCATATTCTTGAGACCTGTTTTTTTTTTGCTCACTTTGTTCTTTGTAAGATGGAGGTGAGAATTGTTCCAAATCTCACAAACATGTTCTAGGTGTGCTGAGTCTTGCAGGTCCCCCAGATACTCTGGTATGGGGCATCATTTAAGTACCTGAGACCAGCAGGATAAAAACATTGTGCAGTATCAAATAGTTCTTCAGCAACATGAATTTACTCTCAAAATCTTCATAAAAAGCTCTTTAGAGCTTCTTAGACCTGGTGCCACATCTCTAAGTGAAGCTGGATAGACAGGACACGGTTGGTAGTGTGCTGGTGATGAGTGAGATGAAGTAGAGCTCACATAGACTGTAAGGCTAAAAGGACTGAAGAGTTATCTTGATAGCTATAGCTAACAAATAAGTAATAACATCCATATGAGAGCCTGCTTCATAATGAGGTCTCAATATACTTTACAGAGTTTTGTAAGAATAATCATAGAATCATAGAATCCTTTAAGTTGGAAGGGACCTCCAAGATCATCAAGTCCAACCATTGAGCCATTAGGGCTCCAAAGTCCTCTCCCAAAACAGGTCAGAATCTGTCAGGGCTGGAAGGGACCACAAGGATCCCCCAGTTCCAACCCCTCTGCCATGAGCAGGGACACCTCCCACTAGATCAGGCTGCCCAGAGCCTCCTCCAGCCTGGCCTTAAAGACCCCCAGGGATGGGGCCTCAACCACCACCCTGGGCAACCCATTCCAGGGTCTCACCACTCTCATGGGGAAGAGCTTCTTCCTCATGGCCAGCCTGAATCTGCCCACATTTTAGAGCTAAAGCTACCAAGGGACAAAGGATTCAGCTGTGTAAGGTCATCTCATCAGTCAAGAAAAGAACCAGTGCTGTAAGTCTGGCCATGCTGCCTCTAAATAAATGCAGAAGGAAGGCAGCCCCACTGAAAGGACATCTTGTACAGGATATACACTGCAGGCTCCTAAACATGCCACAGATCATGTATGTTTTTAGCATGAAGAGTCAGTGATGGCAGCTTAAAGAGAAGCTGAGACACAAACCCAAGTAGCTGACAACTCCACTATGTTTTGCATTACTAGCACCCTCTCGTTCAGAGTGGCATGAACTGTTTGGAGACTGCATTTGGCAATGGGGTCCACAACCTGTACAACCAGGCCCTCTTTGCCTACACCTATCGATTAGCTGGCAAAGAGACAAGATGCCAGTTCTTCCTGGAGAAGCTGGACAAGGCAGCTACCAGAGATGGTAAGTGCAGTATGGCCCTAACACAGGGACTGCAGCTGATGGAGTGGGCTGTGGTGGGATGTGAGCCATTCTGATGTACAGTTCTCTCCTTCCTGCTGCTCCTTTTTCCTGCTGTGCTACTGAATTTATCTTTGTGAACTTCTATGTCTGACTCTTTTGGCTTCACAAAAGATTGAGCTGTGGCCTGATTTTCTTAGAATTATGAAATAATGTAGGTGGGGAGAGACTTCTGGAAGTCTCAGTCTAAGACAGTAGAAGATTGTACTTAGTCTCTCCATTAGCCTCCTCTTCTCTGCACTGAACAAACCCAGTTCCCTTGCCTATGTCATGTGCTCCAGGCTGCAACTGCCTTAACATCATTCTTCACTTCATCCCCTCCTTGACTCATACAACCCACACCCTTTCCATCCTTTCCTGTTCTCCTTCCCATTCTGGATGTAAAACTTATCCAGTTCAGGACACTGGCTGAAAAAAACACTGGATAAAGGCAGAAAGGGCATTGTATGCCTGTCTCCTACAGTTTCCTATCTCCTCCAGTTTCACCAGGTGATGCTGTAGTAAAATAACCAGCAAGTAATTTTTTTCCATGCTTTTTGCACCTCACTTTTCTGTTTTCAGGTGGTTCAGTTCACTGGCAGAGAGAAAATAAGCCACCAGAAGAATATGTCCCTGTCTTCTATTCCCGTGCCCCTTCTGCTGAGATAGAAATGACTGGCTACGTGCTCCTGACTTTGCTCAACAAGCCAAACCTCTCCCCAGAAGATTTATCTCACATTTCTCGTGTTGTGCACTGGCTTGTCAAGCAACAGAACCCATATGGTGGTTTCTCCTCCAGCCAGGTAACAACTGGGTGTGGTGAAAAGAAAGCTGCTGGGAGCAGTCCAGCCTGCAAGCTGGATCTCAATAGTAGGACCTATCTTCCTGGCTGCATATTCATTTGAATAATGATAAATGGTGCTCAGATGAGTCTCCTCATGAGGGCACATCACACTCCTCATAGGCAGGGTCACATATGTTTGAGGTCTAAGAAATGGGAATTTATGTGAGTTTCAAGCTAGCAGCAGACAGCAGTTGCTGTTGACACAGCATTATCCCAGGTTTTCTGGGACAATTCAATCCTATTGTCCCAGAACTTGTATTTTGTGTCCTCAGTTTTTTAGCAAAGTCTCCCTCCATTTCTGAAGGAAGAGCCAGGGAAATCAGAGCTGTGCTAATCCCAGGCACCACCTCACAGCCAGGACTCTGTCTCATCAGGGGCCACGTTCTTCTTTTCAGGACACTGTCGTTGCTCTCCAAGCTTTAGCCCAGTATGGATACCTCACCTTCTCTAAGAAAAATCTTAACACAGTCAAAGTCAACTTGCTGGAGTCCCCCAGTAAGAGTTTCCAGGTGAACGATGAGAACCGCTTCCTGCTGCAGCAGGTTTCCCTCCCCACCATCCCAGGCAGCTACAGCGTGGAGGTGGCTGGCACTGGCTGTGTCTACCTGCAGGTAAGCAGCCTGGGAACTGCACCACCCCTCTGAGAACTAAAGAGGTGGGGCCTCCACACCTCATTCCTCTCCATACCTCGTGCCCAAGCCACAGAACCCTGCAAGTCTGTGACCACCTCACACTTCCCATCTCTTTCAGACCACCCTGAGATACAACGTCCACCTGCCAAAAAAAGCTGCAGGATTTTCTCTCTCTGTACAGCTGGCCAATGTGTCCTGCACAGAAAACTTCCCACCAAAATTTGACCTTGTCCTCTCTGCCAGGTAACAGCCTCTTATTAATCTACCCACTTGCATTCAGAGTTTGGTAAAGTGTCCAAGAAAGGGTGGAGGTACCAGCAGTTAACTGCAACTATGCAGCTGCAGGAAGACAAACAGGATCACTGGGAGCTGGCAATGCCATCCACTGGTGGCCTCTCCTTTTGCAGACCAGACTAAGAACTTTTCTCATTTCAGTTACACAGGAAGCCGCCAAGTCTCCAACATGGCTATTATTGATGTGAAGATGCTCTCAGGTTTTGTTCCTGTCAGATCTTCCCTGAAAAAGGTAAAGAATGCGAGCAAAATTAACTAAAAAATAGGAAGTTGACAAAAACAGTCTCTGGTTAGCAAGTCAGAGCCCCACAGGAATTCTGCAAAGTCCTTGAGCATAGCCTCCTGTCACATACTCTGTGTCTCAGACTTGTTCATCTCTTGAGGACAAATTTGTTAGGAGTTGCCCAATCCAGTAGCCCAACCAAGGTGGGACTGCTGCAGTTTTGTATCCCCAGGCCCAGCCAACAGCCAGGCTGGGTGTGTGTTCCAGCAGCCAGTCACATATCTGTCTGCACACGCTTCCTTTTTGCCAGAAATTCATAACTTCTCTTTGGAAGCTTGTTCCACTGCCATGTTACACTGTCTGGCATCCTCTTCCTCCTTATTTGTACTTGGGGGAAAAAAAAAAAGCTGGTTTTTAAGGTTTGGAATGTTTTAGTTTTGTGTATTTTTGTAGTAAAATGATTTTGCTCACATGTTTTGAAACTTTTTAAAAAAACTTTTTAAAATAGACAGTGGACTAGCAAGTGAGTCAGCTTGAGCTGCAGAAATGGCCATGGGACTGTGAATTCTTATTGGAATGAGAGCTCTTCTGTTAGTGATGGAGCTCACACACACCAAAGCTGACTAGTAAAACAATCATTGGGATTGGTTTGCACTCCTCATGCTATGAAAACAGCTAAACATTTCTCGGTTTGGCCACGAGATGTCAGGGTGGCCTAAGAGAAGCATGGCAGTCCCTTTAAACCTAATTTGCTATCAAATAGCAGCATTTTAAAGTTTTCTTGGCAAGCCTGCTGTTAACACTGCTATCCTTTGCCTTACTTAAAGCTTCAGTACCAGAATTCTGTTGTGGATCATGTAGACATCAAGAACAACCACATCTTCTTCTACCTTCACAAGGTAATTTTGGGAGGTTTCTTCTGGCTTTTACTAAATTGGAAGTTTAAAACAGGCTCTTGGCTAGAAAAAAATCCTATTAATCACAGATTAGCAATACACATATCTTAAAGATGGAAATGGACTTCACTCATTCCATATATATGCTATGTGTAAATATATATATTATATTTTATATATATATACTCTGTATATCTCAGATATATATGCACAGTAGCTGTAATTGCACTGAAGAGATACCTGTATTATTTTTTGTGAGGAGCACAGTATGATGAAATAGCAGTTCCCAGGCAGCAAAGCTGCTTGCCATATTGCACAAGTTTCCAGGAACATTCCTCATCCTCTAAGTGATGCTGCTCATTCCTTCATCTGAGAGTGTTTTACAAGGAGTCAGAATCATCCCCTCTCTTTTAGAGACATTTCTGTATGAAAAGAATAGTCCTCCCACATCAATGGCATTCACAAAGGGAGTGAGAGAGGAGAAAGCTGAAAATCAAATCACAAGGGGTCTTAAAATGCTAAGAAATAAAGGAGAGAGGAAGCAAAAAGTAGTCATGATATCTACCTCTCCAACAGTAATTGTTATTAGTTGGCCTCCAAGGATCTAGTAAGGAAGATTGGAGTCAGTATTCTGACTTCACAGAGTAGCTGAGACATTGAGATGTGGAAGGTTTACCAGTGATGCAGGAAGTTCTCCAGAGCCCCTGTCCATGGCTCCGTTCCTCTGAAGAGGTCTGCAAGATAAAAGCAAGGCCAAAGGGAGGGGAAAGCAGGGGCACAATCCCAGGCACACAAGAGAAAGCTGAGGAAGATGAGTGAGGAAGAAAATTTGGGACATTTGGCTGCCAGAGTGGGGAATGAGGAGCAGAATCACAGGGGAGGATGGAAGTCTGGAGTTCAAACTGATTAAAGAGAGAAAAATGTGGAGAAGCTTGATAGGGGTGCAGAAGGTGGTTTTAGCTGGGAAAAGGCAAGGAAAGAAACTAGCAGTGACTTTGGGTGGCAGGATGAATGCCAATGTGCTGAAAGCTGCAGTGATGAGAGACAGGTTGGGGTGACTGAAATGGGAATACCAAGAGGAAGAAAGAAAAGAGCACACTAGTTTAAAACAAAACATGTAGCAACAACTTTTAAACAATGATCTGACTTGACATGGAGTTTACAATCTGGAGAGATCCATAGAATGGCACTTTGTCATCCAGTCTGACCTAGAAATGCATCTCTTCAACCTTAAACTCAGAAGGAGGTGAAAAGAAAAAGTCTGATGGATTTTTTTTGCCATTTCCAGGTCTCCCAGAAGACCATCAGCTTCTCCTTCAGCGTGGAGCAGAGTCTGCCTGTCTCAGACATCAAACCAGTGCCAGTACACATATATGACTACTATGAGACAGGTAGGTGACCTCAGAATGCTTCAGCCCAGCCCCTGAAATCAAAGCCTTGATCTCATTTACAGGGTGCCAGCAGTGGATTGTCCCTTGTGCTGTCCTTGCTCTTCTGTAGCTGCTGCCTTTGTTTCTCAGGAGAGAATTTCTCAGGCTTTGCATTACTACAGCAGCAGCTGCTTTCTTACAAACTACACACAGAGAGAAGTGTGGTTCCACTTTCCTTCCACAGTTTGAACACCACAGTTAAAATCAATAACTCAAAGGCAGGAGTGTTCCTGACTTACCTGATCTGTGTTATCTCACATTGCTGCTTGAGATGGCCACAGTAGGCTGCAGTCAAAGAACTCTTCCTTAGTGGGATTGAAATACTTAGGTAAAAATGACAGTCCCACTGAACTCAAGAGGAGTTTAAGCACCTAAGTAGAAAGCCAAGTGCCTGACTGCCTTTCTCCTTTGGCCTCAAGGAACTACAATTGCATCAGACATTACCAAGTTGTGGAACTTACGTGGCCCATGGTGCTTTTCTCAAGCTCAGTGCAGCCTTTGGCAACTGCATCCTAGCAGCTGTACCCAGAGAATTGACCCTGGAGTGCATGTTCTGCCACCTGATCCATGTCTTCTGTGGTCACAGCAATGATATGTCCTGACAAACAGAGACAGAGGAGTGCACTGGGCTCTGAGTGTGCACCCCTGCCACTGGATGCCTTGACAACTGGAAGACTACCACAAAATCTACCAAACGTTCATCACAGGGGCATAGGGACTGAGGTCAGAATGATTTCTCATGCAAATGTCACCTTCTTTTCTCCTTTCCAGATGAATATGCCCTTGCAGAATACAAAGCACCCTGCTCCCCACCTTCCAGCTGAAGTCAGACGTGTGCCAGGAGAGGTAATGGTTCAGGAGGTACCAGGGAAGCATTTGTAGAGGACAAAGAGAATGAGAGACTTGGGGGTTTTGATAGGAGGGCAATGAAAAGCACATAGAAGAATGAAGAATAAGCAAATCCCAAATGGCAATAAATCAGAATGACCTGTTCTGGCCCACACTTCAAAGGAGCTTGCAGTCAGTGTGGATCAGAAACTCCAGATAAAGGGCTTTTCCTAGCGAGGGAGATACTGTGCAATTGTTAACCCTGACCATCCATCTTTTGGGGAACTCATGGCACAGATTCCAGTGGAAGCTTTGTGTAAGAGTAAACTCCTCATGCTTGTTTTCTTGGCTTATTTCCTCTTAAGAAATCCAAGATTAGGAGAATAATCTGCTGCTGATAGTGCTTCTGTAGGTTTTACTAATTTTGTTCTTTCCCTTTATCCTGAAGGAAGATTCTGAAGAAATTACTTTGATCCTCACCTTTTCCAGGGATGGAACTGAATCATTTACTGATGTCAGAAGTCTAGTCACAGAAGACAACTTTTATGCAGTTTTTGCCCCTATTTGGAAAAAAAAATGTTTTTATTCAGGTTTACAGCTCATATTTTACTGCTCTTTGTAATAAAACCACCTGATTGGCCACGCTCTTTGTCCCAGTCTCCAGTTCTTGCTGTATCTAGAACTGGGTGCTGTAAGGTGTTTAAAGAATTAAAATAATTAATACCATGGACAGGTCAATCAATGACAATGACATCCTGACATCAGTGACACCTTTTGGCACAGACAGGGTCAGGGCCTTGGCCTGTGTGATGGGACCTTTCTACCCAAAGCCTGACTGTGGGAGAACCTGGGGAGCTGTAACAGAGAGACTCTGAAAAGGGTTTAAGAAGGTGAAGAAGCACGTAAATGTTGGTTTGGAAGGGACCTGTGTAGGACATCAACTGAAACCTCTTGTTCTAAGCAGAACCACCCAGTAGGAACCTGCAACATAAAGCAGGAGACCTCCACTGTCCTCCCAGGACCTCAGCACTGGCCTGGGGGATGCAGACTTCAAGGTGAGGTCCATCCATGAGCAATGGACGCGTGACTCAGGCAACAGAAGACATCCAGACCTGCAGGCAAACCTGTCTATCAGGTCTGCACTGTAATTGTTGCTATAGTTCCAAAAAATTTACTAAATATGAGTCCTCCTTTTAATCCCAAAGCAATTATTCACAGCTTGCTCATCGCACTGTAAAAAGCAGCCACCCAGGAGATTCCCTGAGGGAAGACCCAAGGGATGGGAGAGAAAGAAATGAAAGACATTTGGCATGAAAGCTGGAGAAATATAACCTATCATCCCCAAACCAGCTTCCTTCCTTAGGTTTTTCACCAACTTTCACATACTTTAAAAAATAACTGTAAAGCAAATTAGCACCAGGTATTTCCACTGAGATAAGATCCCAAAACCTGAAATCTAAAGGTCAGCTTTAGATTCTCAGCTGACATCACCTCTCTTGCTGCATCCAGGTGCTGCCTGTCCCTGAGGAACAGGAGTGCAGTGCTAGGGACTCTTTGTGCTGAACTTCCAGCCACATTGCACAAAGCAGAGTTTTTCTGCAGGGGGTTTTCTCCCCTGAGTCATACATTAACTTATGCCTGTGTACCCAGACTAGGAGCCTACTCACCAGTCTCTGGCTCCCAGGACAGGTATTTCTTATCTTGTTGCCCAGTTTTCTGCAGGTTCAGATGTGCACTAGAGCTCCTGGGCTCCAGTATGAGCTGGGTGATTACAAGTGTCCTTGATTTAGTCAAATAGAATCACCCTTCATTACAAACCTTGTCACCTCTTGAGTGAAAGGGTTGTGGGGATGCAAAACCAGCTCCTGAGCTTGTCCTGGACAGTCCGTGTGAACCAAGCTCTGCTCAGTCATCTTCATGGATAAACACCAAAGGCAGGAGACTGCAACTACATAGAGAAGAGAAGCTTTTTTTGGCAAAGCCACTGGTGGGACCCCAGTCCTCTAGGACCTGAAATCACCTTGCAGTTAAGCCAGCCTAACAGGCTGAAAGTCTCTCCTTTTCCTCCCCTTGGAATTCCATTTCTATTTCTATGCCCTATGAAGTTGCAGTTGTATGATGCAATTTGAGCTGTGCTCTGAGGATGCAAAGCACATAAAAATAATCCAGTTTACTAAACAATTAAACATCTCTCCTCACAAGGCCCCAGTATCTGCTGGGTCTCAAATTTGAGCCGTTTCCACTGTGAAGATGGTTTCATACACTGAGGCCAAGGACTAGCTCTGGGCATAGATCAGCTGTCTCTGCTTGGGCATGCAACAACAGATGCACAAAATTCCAAATCCTGCTGCCCAAATCTGCGAGGGGAAGACATGAACAAGCTGAAATACAGAAGTTCAATGGCTTATTGATACATGTCCACAGCCTGCTTCACCTCCAGCTGCTCTGGCTCTTGCATCAAGTCACCCACAGACTCAGATCTTCTGTCCATAAAGGCAAGAGACTTCACAAATGAACCTATGTAATATCATCAATATTTTTGGGTACTCTCCTTAGGATGGACAGAAATATGGGTGTGGGCCTGTCTGCTTTCTTTGGGTTTAATTTAAGCTTTGCTTTGTTGAGGGATAGGAGTTGTTCCTTCCCTGACAGTTCTGTTGATCTTCCCTGCAATGAGACTGATGAGTTTCTACCTTTTGAAAAAGGAAGGACATCCTGAGAAAAGGATGCAATGAAGTAAATGCTTTCACATCTTCCCATTCTGCTCAAAATCCAGAGGCCCTATCCTCAGCATTTCTGTTCCCATCAGAAACACCCCTGAGCACAGTGCTTGACCCAGAGGCACACTGAAAGTGATGTTATTTGGGTTTGTATGAGACCTGTGGGTGACTTCTGCTGCAGAGAGACACATGCTGAGGGATTAGCCATGGTTCTGAAGATGTTAAGGTGCCAAATTGTTCTTCAGTGACTACAGACTCCTCCCTACTCTCCCATCCCTGTTAGCAGAGGAGACTGTGTGAGCTTCAGGAGGGGTCAGCCAGGCTGGTTCAATCCACCTCCTTCAGCTGTGTACACTCAGCCTGCTGCTAAACAAAAGCCTTTGTTCAGTGCCTGGCCAGTGCCTGGCCAGCTGCAAGCCTGCTCAGATGGGAACTGAGATGGAACTCTGGTCCTTTGGAAACCACAGCATTTAGAGTTTGTTACAAATTTCCAAAGACTCAGCTGAGAGGGAGTGGCTGGGACAACACCAGCAACATCCAGCAAGATCTGCATTTCCTGGCCTCCTTTTACCTCCAGCACAACTACTGAGCCAGTTTCTTTCTCATGCAGCTTGCATCATGTGAAGCTGTTGATGCAGGAACTCAGGAGTTTGCTCAACCTCGATGCAAGGCAGGCAGGTTGAACTCTGTCCCACACTTTCACTGCATTGAGATTTCAATTTTATTTGTTTGCCAGAGCTTTGAGGCCGTTTGGCTGAGTTTCACTGTGATAGAGCTGTACATATTTCTCTAATTCATGCAGTAGATTTGAGAAATTTGGCTACTTCCATGTGATGTTGCTTCATGTTCTTCTCCCTTGCACATCATTACTTAAGAAATTTTACTTAGAATTGATTTATGAGCTCTGTAAGAAAGTCTTGCTTTTTAAATGGTGCAAAATTTTGGTGTTGCACAGCAGACTGCAGGAGAAACCTGTAATTCTGTGTGCCCTGCCAAGCCTGACACCTTGCTGTTGTTCTGTCAGCTCTACACTATGATTTCTTTCCTTAAGTGTTTCATCTCTTCTCCACACAGCTGAGCCACCCAACCCTTAGAACTGCCTTACCAAAGGGGAACTCCTTCCTCTGGAAAGAGATGATGAAAATCAGAACTGAAATGGTAAAGAATGGACAAAAGATGCAGAGCAGGTACAGGAGAAATCTCCAGAAAAACCACATAATCCTGAGAGATCAGTTCAGGAGTGCAGGAGGGTTCTTGCTTTTGATGTTGTCCTTCTCCACAGAGGATGCAAATTCAGGTCCTGTCTCAGCCAGTCAATAAAAAGCCTTGTTCCCACATTCTCTGCAGTCTGTATCCTGCAATGACACCTGTGAAGACCTTTTTTCCACCTAAAAGCACTGGGAAGCTGCAGTAATCCCCACAGCTCTTTGACACAACAAGGAATACATTAAAGCCCGAGCCAAATTATTTTCTTGGTAAAATTCCAGATGAAAAGTTGCAACACTTGATAGGAACTTCAGACAGAGGGGTCTTAGGATCATGTGAATCAATTAGACTAAGTGGCAAGGAAGTCCTCCCACCTCAAAAAATGCCAACTATTTTATTGGTTGCCAACTACAATATGCTTATGCTCAGTTCTTTAGTTTCAATCCAGGCACTGGTTTTCTCTGTATGCATATCCTCCTATAAAAACAAGTCCTTGAGATGCTCTGCCTGCTCAGGATGGCAGTCTGATCCTTCTAGCAGCAATATCTGGTTGCCAGGTAGGGCTTGAAGAAACACCTCCAGCTCAGTGAGCAGCAGCATGAAACCTTCAGCACCTTGGGGAAACTCTTCACCAGTGCTGGAGGCTCTGGGGAACTCATGGCCAAAAGATTTGCCTTGCTTAATAGCCTCTCCCAGAGCAATCATATCCAGCATTGCTTGCTCTCTTTCATTCTTCTGTATTTCTGCAGCTTGTCTCCAACAATTAAGTTGTAGTTTTTCTTTCCTTTAACCTTTATTGCTTGCTGTCATAGTCTATCATGACTTTTAAAATTGTCATCTCATGATTTTTTCATTCTTGTTGACACTTGGTTTGGTTGAAGGTGAATGCTTAGAGGGGATTCAGTGGCTTGGCATTGTTTGAGTTATGGTCCTGCTGTTTTTAGCTCAAACAGCACTGACATAGACTAGAACAGACTGAGATGTGACCCTGTAGACATTGGGAATGGTGAAACCACCCAGTGTTCACAGTTATGCAGGACTAGGTGAGACTTGGGAAGAAATCACAGAGC